GCGGTTGAGCGCTGGGTTGCGAAGCTGCCCGCGGCCTCAGCGGCGCCGGTTCGATCCCCGGCTGCTCCCCGGCCACCGGAGGAGGGTCCCACATGGCGCGCAGACCTCTCCTGCCGCCCGCTGCTCCCCTCAGCAGTGTACTTCGGTCCTTCTGCCTGCTCTGCTCCCCGCTCTGGCTCTGGTGAATTCTCTCGCCCTCCCGCACTTCTGACTGTACCCAGTGCTTGTATAAATAAATAAATAAATCTTTAAAAAAAAAAAAAAAACAACTCTGACCTTGACCACTGCAGTTATAAGGGAAGAGACAATGAAAGAGAAGAGCCAGAGAAACCCTTCTTCAGAGGCACTCTGGGAATCTCTGGGACACAGCTTTCCACCTGACATTGATTCCTGCTGGATAAAGGGGAGACAGCACAGACACCCCCCTTTGAAATTCACTTCACACCTGCATATATGCCTCAGTTTATGCGAAACACTTCTGTGAAACGCCATACTCCATGGAAATCCTCACCCTGACAACATGGCCCAATTTTGGGGAGAAGGGGATGCCACAGCATCATATGAAATCTCATCCTTCAGGTGTCTTTGAAAAAATCAAAAAGCAATGATTATGTACTGACCAAGGTGCTTAAAACTTATAGACAATGGTCATCAGAAGATCAAGAAAGCTATGAAAGTTATATAAACTATATGAACATGTACATTTTTCTGGAGATGAAGCATAGCTTTCATCAGATTCACAAAAGGGTTTGTGACCCATAAAAAGTTCAATACCATTGTCTAACTCAGTCAAAATAGTACAGTCTACTTAAAAAGGGCAAATAATAGGAAAAAAAAGTCTTTTCAGACCTCTGATGCTATAGTGTCTCAGTCATCTCAAGACCATCTTGTGAAAATTCTATTTACCATGTTCCTGTTTTACAGATTAGCAAATTCAGTTCCTAAGAAATTAAAGTTAATATCCCACCTAAGGAAAAATGATGGGTTAGTGAATTAGAACCAAAGACAATTAGGTTAACACACTGCTTTTAGGAATAATGGCCTCCCGCTGTTAATATTATGTCATAAATAAATACCACGGGTCAATACCACGGGCACTTTACACACAGGGCTTATTTAAACACCATAACAACTTTGTAAGACATTATCTCAGCTTCTGAATCGATGAAATCAAGACTCAGAAAGAAAAGTTCAACGGCAGCTCTGACAACCTGATTCCAGGTGTGTAGGACTTCCCAGTTCTACATCGGGGTACCCTCGGGGGAGGAAAACTCATCTCGAACTCAGGGACAGTTTCTTAGACATCTTTGTATTCCCCAATTGCTTTGCATGGCAAGGCACTCGGCAAATATTTGCTGAATGAAGAAACCTGGGCCCGGGTTTCTGCCATGGACTTACTGACTCAGTCTCCTGCCACTTGGGGCTGCAGGTGGTTACCCAGTTGGGCAGCTTCAGGGAACATTTGAAATCAATTATGGCTGAGGAGGAACCTATTAAAAGTTCCTCTTCTGTGTATGTTGGGGTTGAAAGAGTAGAAAAAAGTTGCGAGAGAGGGGAAAAAGAACACGATGATTTCAGGGTTGGACAGTGGATCTTAGAGATCCCACACCAGGATGGGACAGAATTTGACATATGTCCACAGCTGAGATCCAAGTGGGCTCCTGACTATGGGCTACTCCTAGGTGGCCATAAACCCCTAAACCGCCAAGTCCCTGAGTATCTACCTTTACGAGGGCCCATACGCTGGAGTAGTTACACACAGTCCTTTAGTCCTTTCCTAGGTCTCAGCCTACATCAGAGCTCCAGGAAACAGGCAACTCCAGGAAATCTCTCACTTGCAAGGGACCCACACCATACTCCCCTCTAGGGGGCAACAGAATCTCAGCACCCAAAGTCTGTGAGGCCTGCCTATCCTTCGCCTTAAATAAAAATATTCCGGCAATCCATTCTGGAGTCCAATTTCCTATTTTGGAAGAATGTGGGAGTTTGAGGTTGGAGGGGGGACATAACTCTAGTTGGTTTTGTTTTCTTTACTGGTTGCTACAAGTGCAAGTTAGTCACAACCCCACAAATGCCAATTTAGTCTTTTGACATAGGCCCTACAGAATGACTTACAAGAGGCTGACCCTCAGAGATGCCTACAACAGCACTCTGGGAGGGGGGAATTAAATGCAGCCCAGAGGCCAGGGCAGGGGCAGCCCTCCAAGAAACCAGACACCTTCCCCACTACGTGGCTTCTGAAGGGTTGTGCCTACTCTCCTGTGCATGAAGCAATACTGCCACCTAGTGCCCTGTAGGGGAAGTATTCCCTAAGGAACCTGGGCACCTGGAGGTTCCTCTACTGTGCCTGGGGTGGCAGAAATGCTTGGTGTCTCTGCTGAAGAGAAGACACCCCACAACTGGTAGATTGAGAATTAGAAAACCGGGTGTAAATTAAGCAGGTAGAAGCTGAGGTTTGACAGCTGTCGGGAGTCAAATCTGCAGCACCTTGGCTTATCCTTGGTGGAGCAGCAGAACCTCAACAGCTGAACTGTCTTTAGTTTTAGGGAATATGATTCCATTTCTGAGCTCGGGCATAAAGGTCTCCGACTTGCACCCATTATCCTCTTCCACCAACAGAGCAGCCCATCTTCAGGATTCCCTTTGGCCACTTCATGGTTCTCAGCCATAGGACCCCAGGTGAAATGTCAGGTGCTGAACACACTGAGTAGACAAGGATTCCGAGGCTCTTGGGAGATGGTGCTAGAATCCTGAAGAATAAAGGCCTTGTTTTCAGTCCCCATTGTCCCCAGACTTTGACCCTAAATTTTTCATGAATGTTGTGTGATGCTCAAATCTGAAGAAAGCTATAGCGTGGAAGATAGAGAAGAGATAGACCCAGGAACTCCTGCCCACGGTCTTCCAGGCATGGACCTGAAGGGAAAATCAGCTTCCCACAGGGGCCACTCTGACTTGAAGGGAAAAAAAAAAGCTCAGAAGCTAGACTGTCTGCAAACGCCTTCTTGCCCTGTTTTGCATTCTTAGGAAGACTGAGCATTCAGAGGGACACTTTGGAATAGGTTCTGTGTTTAAGCTGTGGCAAGGGGAGGGGCTCTGAGTTGTGGTGGACCGGAGGGCAAGTCAGCGAGATGGACCAGGGACAGGGCTGGGGGCTGCCACGAGGAATGCTGTGACTGGAATAAAATCCAAAGCCCTTCTCCTCTGTGCACAGCCTGAGACAGAAGGACATGGAAGGGACAACACAAGGGTCAGATAACCACTGTCCTGATTCTGTTTCCCCAGGTCTGGATTTTTAATAACCCAAAGCAATAGTCTCTTAGAGCCGCCCTCATATATTCTCGTTGGATGTTTCTCTCGTTCTTCACAGCCAGGGAACTGATCCCAGATCCCTCTGTTGCTACTGCAAGAGGAGGGGTGATCAGAGTCATGGGTCTCCTCTATAGTGCAAGCATGCAGTTTCCAGCGCAGATGGGTGCTGGGAAGCGAGATTAGGCAGCAAGAAGTCATCTGGGGAAAACTGGGAAGATGCCAACTCTGATCAGATAATCATCTCATCCTTTCTTCTATTTGGCCCCAGAATAAGGATTTCCTTCTACTCTTTCTCTGCCTCCACCTATGCATGCTACAGTCCAGTCACTTCTCTTCCCCCTCCCCTCACCCACTCTCTCGCCCAAAAATAAAATAAAACAAAACCACAAGACTCAAGAGTGCTCAGTGTCTGGGAATCCCAGCCTCCAAAGGAGAAATCACAGCCAAAGAGGGGGAGACAGCGTGTCCGGAAGGGATGTTCCAGCAACACCCCATTGAAAGAGGCTTCCTTCTTCCAGATTTCTTTCTCTAATCTGAAACTTATCTGCAGGCACCCAGCAACCTGAGCAGTTTTCAATCTGGAGCGATGTCGAGCTCCTTGAGGGGCAGAGGGGGTGGACTTTGGAGCTCCAGTTTGCCCTGGTGCCTCACACTGCTTCAGTTTCCTCACCTATGTGACAGAACTAGCAAACATCAGAGGGGTGTGGGTAACCAAGTAATAAGGTTAAAATGGTTTTGCCATGTGCCTAGTCTAGTCCTGGGAGATCCAAAAGGATAATGAGACACAAGAGTGGAGTATCAAGTCTAATCCCCCGACCCTGGCCCTTGCTTGAAAACATTTCCATCTACTCCTCCTACCGCCCACACACACTTGAGGGAGACACGTATTCCTAACCCGACTCTTCATCCTTCTGGGTGACTTTCCCTGAAAGTCAAGATCTGGGTAAAGTAGAAAATAAATGTGGGTAATATTCCAGACAGGTACCTCTGATCTAAACCACAAAGGTATACTAGGTTCACGTTTAGATCCATTTTTAGGTCCCTCTTACAACAGAGCTAGAAACCAAGATCCTAGGCGCACCCACTATTGAGCCTGCTGTTCCTAGGCTGACCACATGCTGTCAGGATAAAGTGAAAGGGACCCCAGGACTTGGACCAGCTGGTAGCGTTCTGCCAACCTCCAGAGCCAGAGCGGCTCACAGAAAAGGGACCCTGTCAGGTCCCCAGGGCTAGGCACCTGGCAGCCGTGTTTGCTCATTCCTGGCCAGCCCTGCCATGACTCACTGCTCAGTTCCTTGAACCCTCCTGTAGGCTCAGAGTTGCCTGGGTGCTTCATACTGGCTATGAGAAGGGGAGTGTGGCACCTCCTCCCCACTGACAAAGAACCGGAGATCTTTCCCTTTAATGAGAAGCAAGACACTGGACCTAAGGTCTCCTAAGTGCCAGCACACCGTATAGAACCACGAGAGATCAATACCAGGCATAAATGCTCTTGTGGTTATAGAGCCATTAGCCTGGATGAGCCTGGAAGCCTGCTGTGCACAGGAAGAAAGGCCCTTCCCCCTCCCGCTTCCTGGCTTTCCTCCTTCGTCCCCTTTCCCTCCTTGCTCCCTACGTCTAGCTCAGTCAACAAGGAAGCCAGCCATGCCCCTACCCTGAGGAACACAGACAGTCCGGGAGTGGGTCATTACCTGTGATGATGGCCGGGTGGCTCTGTCCTCCCTCGGGCTTCACCCAGGTTTCCACTGTGAACACCTCCCGGGGAATCTCAGCCAGCGCTTCTGGACGCAGCAGCAGCCGCTCCCTCCTCCCCGAGAAGTACAAGACAGGCAGTCCTCCCTGGGGTGTGACAGGCTCTGCTTCCCAGAAGGAGTCCCCTCCACCCTTCTGGATGCTGGCCTCCAAAGGACTGGGTTTGAACCCAAGCTTAGGCCAAGGTTTGAAACGCCGGGGAGAAACATCAGGGTCTCCCTGCACACCCTCTGCCTGCGCCTTCACCACCTGGCGTCGGTGTCTGGTCTTGACCCAGCCCTTCCTTTGGGTCTCTGATGCGGGGTCCTTCGGACGTGCGAAGCTGGTGGACGTGGTGGCAGCCATGGCTGAATGTCCCTGAGTCCCGGTCTCACCTAGAGATTCCCTGGGTCCTCGATGGCCAAGATAAGTATCATCATCTCCCTTCAGCTCAGAGTGTCCAATGGGACCAGTTCCTATCCGGGGAGCAGCTGACTGCTGAGCCTCGCTCCTTACTTCTGCACCTCCAGCTGAGTCCGGGGGAAGGTGGCTTGCCTTCACAGCCTTGCCTTCCATGTTTGGCTTACTGCGTCCTGAAAGAAGGGTTCCCTGCTCCCCACCAGGGTAGGGCATCAGGTAATTCCCAGACCTGCTGGGATAGACCCCAAAGAGGTGATGTTGGGGAGCAGCTCTGGGTCTTCGAAGTTTGGCCCCTAGCCAACAGCGTTCTCCTTCCAACAGCACCTGAACGAGGTGTCCCTTCTGAGCCAAGGATCTCTTGCATGTCCAGCCGGGCTCAGAGCTGGCAGCACTGAGTGCCCACCCAGCCAGAATCACTAGGCTGATTCTCAGCGTCTTTATGCACATCATACCTCCCCCCACAACTCTTTTTTCCTGAACCAGAGGTTAACTTCTGGGTGCCACAGAATGGCAGGGAGAAGAGCAAGAGATGGCTGGTGGTGGACAACAGTCACCAGGAAAACTGTTCTGCTCACAAAGCAAACTTTTTCAAGCAGCCCCCAAGGAGTGCCTCTTCCTGTTACCTGTGCTGGGTGTCCACCTCACCCACCGTGGGTACTTCACCCTCTCCCTGGACCTCCCTGTCCTTGCTCTATTTTAGTCCTTGCAGTCTTTTCCCTTGTTCCTTTAAATTTCCTTCCAGAGAACTCAGGTTGGTTTTCTCCCACTTCAGTAGCCCCTCCCCTGGATGACAATAGGAGGGTGATAAAGCGCACCAGTCAAATTCTCTCCAATACACACTCACTCAGAAACACGTACCCCTCTGAGTCCTGAAGTCAATCTGATCCTCTAATTCTCATTTCTTTCTCCTTCCTCGTCCCCTGTGAGTTACCTTTTCTTTGTAGTCTTTAACCTAAAATATATTCACCTTCAAATAAGTTGCTAGAAGAACTTGTATACAGAGACGTGGAACTGGATGTTTAGTATCTAAATGCAGAAAGAATCTGGGGCACAAAAAATCCAGGCTGGTACTTAACTTTCATTCTCCAGATGTCCTCCTCAACCAGATTCCCATCCAGCTTCCAGTCTGCCTGTGTAGGTCAGAATGTTCCCTCAGATTGGTACTTGGGATTGTTGAGTGTTGAAGGTTTTCTAATCCCCTTCCAACTTGTTGGTATGTTGCAAGTCTCCGTAAGTTCTCCTTTAGGGTGCCAGTCTGATGTCCTGAAAACCTTATGAGTCTGGGAGCCCTTGATTTCACCTTCAGGGAGTCTTGTGGGTCCCTGGAAAGATGGAAAAGAGAACAAGAAGAAAAGCAGGTACTTCAGGAGACCTGTTCTCTCCAGTCCCTCCTGCTCCCCTTCTCTCCCTTCCACTCTGCCTGGAATTATATTCTTGTTTGTTTCATTTAAAGACAATGATGATGTCAAAGCTACTAAGTTCTATGCATCACTCCACCTACTCCCTGTACCCTCCTTCCTCCTGAAAACCTCCCACCTCACTGAGGCACAGGGGACAGACCTACTCCTGGTTTCCCCAGTAAACATCTAGGGCTTTCTCTTTCAGCAGCTGCAGCCTACACAATCAATAGCAAACAATCAATACTGTTTTGGAGCACTCTGTGTATGTATTCTGCCTCTCTTCTCTCTCTCTCTCTCTCTCTCTCTCTCTCTCTCTCTCTCTCATACACACACACACACACACACACACACACACACATACACACACACACATTGTCAACAGTCCTGCTTGCCACCTAACAAAACCACACCAATCTTTTAAGGACCATTTGTATCTTTCTTTTGTTTTAGCACAACCCTCCTGAACTTCTTTCTTACTTCAATCATTTAGGTTTTAAAAGAATGATGCCCCCAATTCACTTTATAGCAGACATGGGGAGAAATCAATTATTTTGTTATAAGAAGCATTAAATAGAAATGCCATGAATTCCTACTACATGGCTTCTTTTTCTCTCTGAAGTTTCTCATTCTGAAGTTACTGAAAGTTCAGCATATGCTGAGTGAGCAAATAAATAAACGAGAAACTCAAAATAAGTAATTTGCAAAAAGTAACAGCTAGACCGAAGGAACTGTTTTGTTCAATCAATTTCAAATGAATGGATAGGATGGGGAAGTAAATAATGTGCCTTTTAACCTCTGTAGTGATGTTTGCCTAAATACAGGCAAATTCAAAGGGTCTCACCCCTAAACACATGTGAGTGTATACACACACACACACACACACACACACACACAGAGCATGGTTCAGAATTCTCAACACAGTTAAGGATGTTCAACAACAGGTGGGCACAAAACAGGGAGAGCAATATATTTGGTCCTTCATTCAATAAAGAAAAATCACACCTCTAAAATCACTGCTTAGTGTTGCCCACATATTAAACATGTCACCCACATACTCTGGAATAAGATCACACTGCCTGCTTTGCCTAGGGTCTCCTCATCATCTTCTAAGCTCCTCTACCCCAGCTAAGAACTGACTTACTCGCTTTAGGAATGTTGTGTCCTAAACACCCCATCCCCATGCCCAGCTGTATCCCTATGCAGCATCCACTGACGCCTCAAAGCCAGTCCCCAAAGAAGATATCAGTTCAGGCACGTGGACATTACTAACCAGAAATCCTATATCCCAGATTGTGCTTTTTCCTTTCATCATTCCCTTACCTCCTTTCATTGTTTTGACTCGGTCCTTTTTTCCCCCTGAATTACCTCCACAGAGATTGGGACTTTGGGAGGGATAGGGGAAAATGTAGGGGAGAATGACAAGCTGAGGAGAGAGAGACAGAAACAGAGACAGAGAGAAACCAGCAAAGGAAGGAGGCAAAGAAGGAGTGGAGCCTTAGTTTAAATAAAGGGAAGATACTCAGGTAAGAAAAGGAGTAAACTTCCCCCTCCCTCATGCCACCCCCAAGACCCTCAGAAAAAGATTTCCTACCATTCATTTCAGGAAGGAGGGCTAACACAGCAAGGAAGAAGAATTCCGCCTGCTTTTCTGCCCCTTTTAATGTGTAAATGATCTTGCATCCCCTATAGGTCTCTCCTGGTTCTCAGCTGCTAGTAATCCATTCATAAGGTTTCAGGAAGCTACACAAAACTCAAGCTTCTAGTTTAGTTTCTCTCTCTCTCCCCTTCATTCCTTTGCTCACCACTCTCTCCTTCAGCTCTTGGCAGTCCAAAGTTTAAAAAAAAATGTTGAACCATTTCTGTGTTTTTCTCCTGTTGTAACTTTTGCTGTGACATCATAACCCTGCCCACCAACACCCCACCTCTCGCTCTCCTTTCCATCCCACCCCTCATCAGCCCCATACCCCCCAAACACACCCCCCACAGAGAAGAAGGGCTCCTGTCAGTTCCAACACGTGAAAACACAAAGCTACTAGAAGGTACCCCCTCTCTCTCCCCTCCGTCCCCTCCTCTCCCCCCTCCCTGCCTTACCCACCGCTCAGCCACGGTTCTCCCAAGGCTTTTAACAATGATGCCATCTGTTTGACATGTGCGGAAAGGTGGGCTGGATTCAAATAATCTGTCAAGTGAATCAGATCAAAACACAACAACCCCCTCCTCAATTCCATCACACACATACACACACGCACACACACACACACACACACGCACACACACACGCACACACCATGCCCCAGCAACAGTGTGAGAGGAGTCAGTCGTGCACAGCAGCCACCCTGGATGCCAGGGAGAAAGACACCAAACATGCCAGAGGAAATGCACATTTAATATACACATAAATTCTGTGGCTTATTTGTTTATGACAAACACCCGAACCCCAGTCCCCTACTCCTCTCTCCTAAGCCCTGCCACTCCGCAAGTGCACAGATTTGAGAGCTGGTAGAATCTGTTTTGAAATCTCCAACGAGAGGGTTTTTCCCCCTTTTTTTCACTCCAAAGCACTATCTGTGGCGATCAGACTAGAGCACGTTTGCCAGCAAATGCAGGAGGCCCCTTCTAGGGTACAGGCTTTCAAACCAGGGAAGCTGGAGGGAATGGATTTAAGGACACACAGCAGGAGCTGGCTGAATTTATTTTATTTTGACGGGGGTAGTTGGGGGAGGAATACCATTTCTGAAATGCCCAAGGAATGAAGGAGAGGATATGGATTTCTTAAACAGTTTATGCAAGAGGAGCGGGGACTTGTTCTACAGGTAAATCTACAAGGCGAGAAATTGGAGCTTATAGATAAACAAGGACCAGGACGGAGAGGCAGAGGGAGAGAAGAGGAGGCAAGAGAGGGGGAGAGGGAGAGGGAAGAGAAGGGGAGCAGGGAGAGGAGGGACTGAAATGGAATGGGGTGAAATGGAAGGGGGAGGGAGAGGAAGGAAATGAAAAGGATCTGGGAGGAGAAAGGACTGAAAAGGAAAAGCAGGGAAGAGAGGAGAGAAGAATGAGACAGAGAGAAAGAGGCACATAAAATATGGAGAACAGGAAGGCAGTTCGAGCCATGATGGCTAAACCTAAGGAAATCACAGAGGCAGGTGAAGGCAGATCCTCCAGGATGGGGCAGAGGTTAGGTGGGATGCACAGAGCACGAAGGACCCACAGTGGGCGGCTGTCTCTTAGTGAGCGAACACATTTTAAAAATTAGATTGCCAGGGTTCAATATTGACTCCTTAAGTAAACCCTTTTCCTTCTTCCTTTCCTGCCTCTACCTCTTCCATCAACACTGTCTGCTGCCTTTCTTCTTTCACCTTTTTGTTTCCAGCATTATCTCCCCCCGGGAGGATTCACTGCCCCACTCCCCCCTCCAAAACCCTCCCCAGAGCCCCTTTTCTTTGCCTCTATTCACAGAGCATACTGAGTCCTCTTATCTGAAGACCGAGCTGTTTTGTGACAATCTGCACTTCATTTCCACCCAACTTACACTATGCTTCCCTTAAGCCCAGGACATCAGTGCTGTTTGGCTTGTATCTGCTGCCATAGTGGGGATGGCCAGCAGCCATCAGCATTGTCATCTTTAACACGAAGAGTCTTTGCGTAAAGAGAGCAGCCACATCGGTGTCCACCTGCAGGACAGAGCATTAGTGAGGAGCGAGACAGAGAGACCCCTTAATATGGTTACCGAGTCTGACTTTCTGATTCCAAAATCTGATCCCTGGAGGGAAGAGCTCAGCTGGGAGGCAGCCAGGGAGTGTAGTAGTAAAAGCCTCCCAGAAGACAACTAAATGCAGTATCTATATATAGGAGCCGGATCTGTTTTAGCTACTTGCAGTCTAAAATGACACCCGGAAACAAACATTTCAGCAATATGTTTATTGGAATCTTATTCAGCTAGTGCTGGAAAGAGTGAGCTTCTTTGAAGAATTTCACTCCAAGGCTCAGGGTTGCTGCTTTCTGTTCCCCCTGCAAGGGTGCTCAGAGTTGGGAGAGAGTAGTTGTGGGGGTCATGGGGGGTCACTTGAGATTCCTTCAAAGAGACCTATCCCTGCCTTCTTTTTCATGGCTAAAGAAGCAAGGTCAAAGGCACAATGAATGGCAGGGCCAGATGTAGCATCTAGGTCTCCTGAAGCTGGGTCCAATTTTTTCTTCTTTGGCCCATACCTATCTTGCAGGTCTGCTAGCCATGTGCCAATTGGATGGGAGGACTGGGTCAAAGACTGACTTCTTGTGTTCCTCACGCAGTCACAGAGCCCCAGGGAATAGACGTGGGTCATATGTGTTCTGTAGCTGAGAATCACAGCACTCAGAAGGAAATACGAATCTAGATTTCACGCCCCTATCTGTGCATTTTGAGCCAAGAGAAGCCCTATCTTTTTGTCGAACTGTTTGGTGCTCCGTATGTTAGTTAATCACATTTTTTTTCCCACAACACTATTACTATTATAAATTACTGTAGATGTTCATTGGTAGTGCTTTGCAAAGAGTCTTTCATCCAAACAGATCAAAGTATTGATATGTCATGCACAGGTGAGGCTTCCCGATGCCCTGAAAACTGCAAGGTGAGGCAATATGCCAGAGTTCCATTTCCCTGGTGACAGTCCCTCTGGGGTAAGTGTTTCCTCTGACATTTCCAGCCTTGGAATCAGCCAGTGAAGCCTTTTGACTGGGGAAGAGTTTAAAGGTGATGCTGGACTCTGCCCTGCTCATCAGAGGAATGAAGGCTCTGCAGAAGCATGCTTCCATTAGGAATGCACCTATAATCTCTTCAAAAGACAACCACATAACAAGGATAACAAGCAGAACTGTATACTTGCTTTTCCTTTGACCTAATGCTCATTTGCATGCACTCTGTCTTTCTGACAGCAACCACACAAAAG